ACATATTTACGTAGCAAGTTGCTCTTCCACGTTTAGGACGTTTAGATTAGAAGAACGATGCGATCACACGGCGTTAACGAAGGAGCGATAGAACTTCAAGGAAAGTAATGTGAGAGATTTCGAACAGCATGTTTTCCTGGGATCAGTTGGAAGTTGCTCATACGTGTCAAATTTTCTACTTATCCCGACCCCCTTGAATGAGCACTTTTACCTGAAGACATAACTGCAACAGAGCCTCTTAACCAGTCCCAAGCCGCGTGTCGCTCTATAGATCACTGGATGTGATTGGCCATTGTATCACATTACGTCAGAGGACATATCTACAACAAGAGGACATAAATGCAACGGTACAATTATGATTAGTCAGTTTTTGCTAGTGTCCAGGGTGACCGCGTCGGTCTAGACAAAGCAAAACGGCCTCAAATCGCGACAAGAACTGCACAGACTACTCTTTATGAAGGTAAGACTAATTCTTTGATTATTTCCCACAACATTATATTTACGGAGCTCAAAAGCGAGTCGAACTACACCACTATACAAACTCTATAATAAAAAGAGTGAAAGAGCCTGGGTCGCCTGTGATCGAGATTGCGTTACCTGTGACAGAGCTGAATAAAGTATGCGGAGCGCGCGCGGTACGTTTTGGCGCGGAAACTCGAGTTGTGAGTTGTTCGCATGCCTGACCGTCAAGTATGATGGGTGACGCTATATCGAAGGCGTTCGTCGAGGGTAAGAATAAACAGTAATTTTGGTCAGCGGGCAAATTATGAAACTCGCGAATATTGCGAAATCCCGCGAAAGGATGACATTTAAAAACTGAAGACAATTTTTGACTAAGACACTAGAATGCGTAATGATGGCGACGACTCAGTAAATATATGAAAATAATATATGTGTACCGCGCTTTCGTAAAATGTATGAAAGCGTTCCTCGCAGTAATAAACTCTACTTATCTAGTAGGTGGAAATAAGGCCTGAGAAAATTTTAGGCCCGTACGGCATTTGAACCTATGACCTCTGCGATGCCGGTGCAGTGCTCAACAAACTGAGCTAACAAGCTAACTGGGAGCAGGTCATTATGTTGGTTCGTATTGAACCCGTTAATGAATTTGAATAAATGAAAATCATAAAGGTGTACTGCGGTTTCATAAAATATATGAAAGTGTCCCTCGCAGTAATAAACCCATTTATCTAGTAGCGACTAAGTACTGTAGATCGACATGACTTTTTGACTTGCCCTGTTCTACCAACAGAAGAGCGAACATGACAGGCATGCAATGTCTACTTTCAGTACTCATAACAAGTGTAAAATTATTAAGTCGTAAGTGAAAAAAGCTGTTCCTTCAATTTTAAACGGCAGTCACTTTGAGAATAAATTAACCCTTTATTTGCCTGTCATGACATTTGTAGTGAGGTCGCTGACGCTAAACCGGGCTGGCTTTCTCTATCATGGCCTTGCATCGAGCCGGTGCACTTTAAACAGAGGGATGGGTACAACTGCGGAATTCTTATTTGTCTCGTAAGTAGCTAATTCCCTCTGCACCCACACGCGACATTTAATTTTAAGTTCAATACAGAAGTCACCATACTCATTAAATCATGAGGTGTTAAGGTACGAAATATTTACCCTCACAAGGTAACTAGCATTACCGTTCTACAGGCTAGCCCCTGGAAGAAGTACATTCGATTAAATATACCTTAACAACCAATTATTTCTTCTTTAAAAGGAATTTAACGGAATATTACATATTCATTTATCATTTTTTCCAATGATTGATTGTTATTTTCGATCGTTTCTTTCAGTTTGTTGGATGTTTGTGCGAAGAGTCCTCCGTAGATGTAGCTTTCGACATAGCAACCGAACGTGCACTAATAACGTCTATGGTGTTTGGCTGTTGTTACAATGACATCCACGAGTAAGTAACCTAAGTCACAGCTTGTTTCCAAACTGCATATCCTTTAATCTTGATAAGCATCGGGTTTGATCCTGATAGAGAGTTAAGAGTCAAAGTATGAGACCTGACCCAATAAAAAAGAAGGCATATTTAAGTGATTGATAATGAAATACATGTTCCGCCCGCTGTAGGAGAAACATCAACGTCTGCATAGTGTGCCAGGACGACGATGGAGAAGATTGGCTGGAATGCGACAGTTGTGGCCAGTACTCCCCATAAGTTGCATCAAAGTGGATTTCTCAGACTCTCTCTAGCAACCGGTACTTTGTCTGCCCTTGTTAATTTCACAACATCGTTGCGGATTAGTGACGTAAATTGATAGTGGAGAATATTCTTCCCAGTGTGGGACTGGCTTAAGACTAAGCTTGGCTGTGCACAATTCCTGAAATTCCCGTTATTTCACAAATTATTTGACGCTTAAGTGTTGACAAGTTTTTCGTATTACGTAAGTAGAAAATTGACTCAACACTCCAAGGAGAATCTCTCTTAAAATTTACCCTTTAAGATTCGAAGTTACCGTCCAAAATTCAAACGTTACTGTTAGGTTTATTGGCGCATTGATAGCCTTGTAAGTAACCCAAACATACCGAAAATATTTTCATTAGTTTTTGTATATCTTCATCCTTTGTTCACTACGATCTTACACATTTCGGGTTTGAACTTTTCGTGGGGAACACGTGCTACAGCTTACACGATGTAATTTAAGTTTAACCGCTGTACTATAAACTTGTGTGTTCGATCCTCGACGAACGCCTTCGATATAGCTTCACCCCAAGTATGATAGTAGTTTTTGGTTGTTATAAGTGGTGAGAGAACTATGCTGCTTAAGCCACATAAGCCAGCTTCAGCACAGAAAAAGGAAGACAGAGAAAATCATAAGTATGAGTTTGGTATCTGTCGGATTCGAAGAAGAAGCGAAGGCGGTCAGTCTCTCGACGAAACTCTTGGCTCTGGCTTCTTTGTTCGAAATCTGATTATTCCAGGTTTTGCTTTCCATTTTTGTCTGGTTGCAAGTGAAAAATATATCCCTGGAGATGACTTTGAAACCTACTACCTAGAATTTAAGCAGTTTGAATCTACTGAATTGGAAAGAATTGAACTAAACGAAATCGCATCGTCAGATCGTTCAGACGTTTATAGAACTCTTGATTTGATTTGCATTCGTATCAACGTCGATCGTATCAAAAAGAAGACATTCTACAAGGACTCATCTCGATCATTTAAAGTTGTTACTGAGCGCTTAGGAAGCTATGAGAATTTATTCTGTTACTTTGTGGACGATTCTCAAGCGAAATCTTTGGTGAAACAAGTGAGAATTGAACTAAATAGTCGCAAGGGATTTCAGATCCTGGATGGTGTGGACACTTACTCGACGTACAATCAATTCACTCAAGGTAAACTAGATGGTGGTGTTATCTTGAAAAGAATTGAGGGTGAGTTACAAGTGGTTGGGGTGCTTCAGTTCACCAACGAGGGAACAATCTCTCCTGTTTTCTTTCCGCTACCTAGTGAAGGTAAGCAACGTCGACATTTGAGAGATTTCCGTATAACCCACATTATCCTAAAACAAAGCCAGTTTTCGTAACCTGCGAAGCTTACTAAAAAGAATATTTCATGCCATAATGCAGAAGTAACGCAAGCTAAGCATTCTAGTGATGAAACAGCTCAATTTTTGGAAGAATTTGACATCGTCCACTTTTGCAATCCAAGTAGTTAGTTCTTTGACTGCCTGAATAATAGAATTGTCTCAATTATTGAACATAACAGGTAAAGGGAAGATGCCACTTAGTCAGTGTGCAACTGAGATTGAAAATGGTAGAGCTGCTTCAGGAAGTGAAATGGTGGAAGAAGAAGGACAAGATTCAGGAATAGATTTGACTTTGGGTAATCAGCACTCTTCAGAGTCCAACCAGGGTAGGTGAAGGACATTATTTCTATAGAGAGATTTCCATGGGGATGAAATAAACCTACTGATAAGTCCAAGTTTAGGACTGGATACTAAGTTTCATTATAACTGTTAAGTCTTGTGACTATTCTGAATTGTTTTGATCACTGAACATTCCATATAAGCTGAAAGAAAGATGCCACCTAATCATTTTGCAACAGATGGTGGAGGTGCTTCAGAAAATGACTTGGTGATTGAGGGTCAACGAGATCTGGAACGCAGTTTGACAGTTGGTAATCAGCATTCTTTACAGTCCAGCCAGGGTAGGTGAAGGACATTATATACTTCTGTAGAGAGATTTCCATTGTGCCAAGATTAACCCACTGATACTTTAAGTCCATGTTCACTTAAGCTCGATAACATGGAGGCTCATGTGAGAGAGTGTACTGATTATCTGTGGATGATGCACATGTGTTAGCCTAAAATATTGTTTTAGCATTCTTACATAAATTTCTACCAGTTAACCGTATTGACTGAGTTGGACCCCTGGTATTCATGGAATTTTTACACAGTTCTTTGGTTGAGGTGGTACCAGAGGTTAAATTCATGTTTTCAGACTGCTTTTATTTTCTGGTGACTGCATGATTACCCAACAAGAAGCTCTGTGCTAAATTTGAAGTCTTGAAACTGGTGCGTTTATGAGATGTAGGTGGAGGAAGTTTTGTTTTTATGGGCTGTTTACCGCAGAAAAAAAAAAACAAGACCACATACTGAATTGGTTGTGGTTTGTTAAAGAAGAATACATCACTGACAGGTTCTTTATAAGATATTGACAAACTGTAAAATTAAACTACTTCATGTTGACAAATAGAACTCAAGTTTCTAACTTGTACAATGCTCTTGCTCTTGCAACACCAACTCAAAAACTTGAAAGCATGATCTTTTGACGGAATTTGGAACATCTCAGCGCTGCATTTGTTGATTTTGGGTAAGACCAGTTATGTTCATCAAAATCGGGTACTTGTGAGTTATTACACTCAACATTTTAATTATGCATCATAAATTGAGCAACATCTTTTTTCAGCTATGGCAGTACAACATGTAGCATTGCACATATTTTTCACTCAATACAAATTTACACAGTCAAACAAAGTACAAAACACTGAACCACTATTGCCTGTTTTCACATGACGTCACGTGGTATCCGTAATTGGGTGTCCGCCATTATGGAGCCCCTCGGCAGCATAATCTGAAGGTAGCTAGTTCTCATGAGTCTCGCAGTACTCTTCAATTCGATCATGATATTTCACAGGAAAAATGCAATGAGAACCTGGATAGTCTATATACCAGAGTATATACTTTCTGAGTTTGCAAAAGGTTTAGAAACGCACGTTAAGAGGAGATATTTACACAAAATCTCACAAGTTGGAGTCTTTCCTGCTAGTATCCACAGGCAGCAATCAGTTCAATCCCAAATGCTTGCCATCTGTCGAGGCCACAGACATGGTTAGCTACCAAGTTTTGGAAACTAGTTACTACACTACGCAGCAGTTTAAATGTCACAAAAACTTGGAGGCCTACAACCAGATGGTGAGAGGATCTGTTACCACTGTACAAGACAAGATTATCGCCAGGAAGCATGTGGTAGTTGGGAAAGGGGGCCATACTCAGTCAGAAAGTAAATGTCTTGTGTGCATCAGACACTTTGTCTGATCAGAACCAAATGCAGGCATTTCAGAAAAGATACTCTCAGTGTTACTGAAAAATAAAAATATACTGTTTTTCATAATCCCTTTCAGATGAGCACTCAATCACCAACTGATAACCTTTCCAGAAATAGCTGTATGTCACAAATGCTGATATTTAGATATTGTCACAGCCAGTCAACCTGTTGGGGTGAACATTCAGAATTGAAGTAATGTGAAGTGTGAATATTATGGACGATTAAGTATTTGTAATCCCTAAAAATGATAACCAAACCACTTCTTAATGGTAGCCTCTGCAGTTAGGTTCATTCAATAGCTGTATTTTATTAGGGTACAGTACAATAAAACTGCTAATTAAAATTTGACGATAATTTATTTAATTTTTTCATTTATATGCATTTGTACAAGCAAAAACATTCATTCATAGAGATTTACTCTTGTAGGCATAAAAGCAAGAAATGGCATTTGCATCTCTGAACAGGCTTGGAACTTGAAATATTGAACAAATTTGAATTTTTCACAAACATTTCAGGATGATCAAATATTCTGAGAAATATGTTTTCTCCATGCATCAAAGACCATAAAAGGCTGCAATGTTTGAAGCAATAATATCAAAACAAAGTCATTAGAATGCCTTTACAAAAACAATGACTGAGGTATTGATACCTCATTGGGCTGGATCCCTTGTCATGTTTTGAGCCTGGATTCTACAGCAAAATAATACTGCATTCCTTTCTTTTTTAAAACAGGTAAACCATTAGATACAGTTTCAGTAATATTTCATTTTTTTCTGCGAACAATGGCTTTACAAACCAAATGCAGTGAATTCACAGGGAAAAAAGTAGTTTCCCAAGATGAAATATTTTTTGGAAAAGTGGAATGAATAAAGAAAATGATATGCCATTCATTTTACCGTGGAAATTGTCATTGGATAATTTATACAATGTTGATGTAGTTTGCATTGGCAAATATTTATTAATTCCACATTTCCAATGCTGAGGTGTATCCAGGGGTGTTTTGCATGGTTCGGTCAAACCCCCCGCATTATCCCTCAAAATGCTGGAAATCATTTTCCGAAAACCTAATTTTGAAAATCTTCCAGGGGAGCATGCCCTTGAACAATTCTCTGAACCCCCCTTGACTAAATCTGGGATCCACCTCTGCAATGATATAACAACTTGGTGAACCACTTGTTTCTCTGTGGAATGTAGCCAGCACACTTGATCACCCCTCAAAATTCAATGTTATAAGGCAATTTTAAACATGGAAATTGCAAACAGAAAGACACCATTCCAGCAATCGAAAGGGTGGCATAAATCCATCAGTTGATTTGGCAATCAATGCAGACTATCTGAGAAGTATATCTAAATCTAGCATTTTGGTTTAGCTAACTGGCTAGACATATTTCCCATTGCAATAGTGAGTTTCTTTCATGCATACTGCAGAGATTAGCAAAAAGTGGTATTAAAGAGGAACAGTAATGCCTAAATGGTCTTTGATGTCACTGGGATAGAGACATTTTACCTCTTATTATATCATTTGCAATGTCAAACCGTTTTGTAAACATTTCTTGGGTAAACATTTCATAATCATTGGCTGACATGCTCGCTTTCCAATCTCGGTTCCCCTGATGATGCAGCGAAGTCAATCTTCAAGACCTGCTGGTCACTTTCGTTAAGTTTACGGCGCTTAGCTGCACACTCGCGTGCCGCCTCACGCTCGCATTGTTGTTGTTGTTGTTCAAGAAGTGATTGCCTCGCTTGGTCACGATCTTTCTTCCTGTCGGCTCTCGCCGTCGCTGCCTGCGAATCGGGCTCTTTTGAGTAATCCTTTTTTCCTAGGTTAAGTATAGGTTTCCAGTCAACGTTGTATCTGTCCCAGAGTAAGGCAGGCTTCCCAGAAACAAAGTGTCTACCACACACTCTCTCACTTTTCAAGATGTCTCTCAATTTTGTGTCATCTCGGCTTATCTATGAAATCCATGTGTTTTGGCAATCTTCTGTTAGCTGTTTGTACCATTCACTGTTCTTATCAACAACGATAGGTATATGGAATAAACTAATACCTTCCTTGTTTCCAGATTTTACTCCACAGCCAAGTATTATACAGAGAACTATTGCACTACTCTCACTCACATCTCTCTCTACACGTCTCTGTTTACTTTTTGAGGGGCTCCACAATGGTAGCCTGCAGAGCAGGCGTTCTTGTGGAGTTTGGGCGAAAATAAGGACTTTGGGCTTTCTGTTTTATTTTCCAGACTGCGCATAAAATGGAAAAATTAGGAGGTGGGGGAAGGGGGAGAGGAGAGAAGGTAACGCCTGCCAGCAGCACTTGAAAATTTGAAAAATACCCCCCTAATTAGATATGCTTGAGTAACAATAATGCGCAAACAATTGGCCAATCAGGTGGCGCGATGGAAGTGGATTTTCGCTTCCATTGCTTGTCAAAATTTTTTGTTATTCAAAGGGAATCAGATTAGTCAAAATTTGTGTTCACATGTCGCCGAACGAGAATTGTCGGATTTGCGGCTGTAGTTTTAAAGTTAAATATGGCTCATACCTGTCATCAGAAAATTCATTCAGAGCATCAAAGAGAAGTGATGCTCATGGAGTAATTTTATCAGACGTGTGTGCTGGAATTGGCATCAAACTCATTCAAAACAACGATCAGTTATCGGATTGCTGTTGCAATCTGTGTGCTAGGAAAGTCAGAAACTTGGGACAGCTACATGCATTCATTCTTAAGAACGCAAATGGCCAATGCAAAAATCCAGAAAAGCTTAAAAGTGCAAATAAGCGGCAATTAGATACGCCAAACAAATCTAGCCAGCCATGGAGGAAGAATAAAGCCGCTTGTATGTGCAAACCACCTACACCGAAATCAAGAAAATGCTTAAATATTAGTGAGAATATCGATCCAGCTTCATCGAAGAGAAACATACCGAGGAAAGATGATGATTTGGAAAATTTTTTAAATGTAGATGATCTTCCAGAGGATGGATTACAAGTTAAAGTCATGACAAGAATGGCAAATGGGCAGGTAATTGTTAGGAAGAAACTAAGAAAACTCGTGAAACACATCACTTTTAGAAACTGGAGAACAGCTTTGAGATTTCTTTTCCGCCGTGAAGAAATCTTACCAGAACTTAGAGAGATTTTTCAGGAGAAAACTTCAAAAGAATTCGACGAATATGTGCATAAATCAAAGTAACAGTGTTTCTTCGTGAGAAGGTGCTTGACTCCACACCAAATCTAAAAATGGTGCTTTTACCAAAACCTGTTGGTAAGACTGCCAACACATCTTTATTTCTGGAAAGTTGACCTATGGCATCTTGCTGTTCTTGTTTTAAAACAAAGTTTTCTAAGACATCAAAAGTAGCCAAAGAATCGTTCAACGCAAGATCTATCACTTCTTCGCTAAATGCCATATTGGATGTGATACATAACAAACTGACATCACATTCTGCTGTCAATAAAAAATACTGGACCAATCAGAATCGCCCGTTCATGAGCAAACGTGTTATTCAAATTTTCAAGTACTGCTGGTAGGCGTTCCTTTCCCTAGCCCTTACCTCTCCCCCTCCATCCACCTTCTAATTGTTCGCCTCGCTCCATTTTACACGCGGTCTGGAAAAGAGAACAGAAAGCCCAAAGTCCTAATTTTCGCCCAAACTCCACAAGAACGCCTGCTCTGCAGGCTACACAATGGCAGTTAACAACGGTTGTCAAGGACTAAGGTCACATGGGTGAAAACCAAGAATTAACAGAGGCAGCAGAGTGTGGAGAAAGGTGCTTATCTTTCACCCAGCGATGTGCATACCCCTAAGTTTTTCAAAATACCCTTTGCGTTGTTGGTTGGCACAAGCAAATATCTTTGCAATCTTAACAGTTTCAACTGTATCCATAATTGATTTGTGACTCTCATTTTTGCAGTCTTAAATCCCTTGGCTCAGCATTTGATTGGGTTCTCACAGACAAAATTAAATCATGTATTCTTTCCTTGACATGCTGTCTAGTTTGATGTAGAATTGCTGCAATGGGTAGGCTTCTTGAACACAGGCTGGAGCTCAGTATAATGACTTCACCTTGTTTTTGGTTTTGCAAGGTATCACTGATGTATTGCAATGAATGCTTTGTTTGGAATGGAATGTCTGATGGTTTGGGGTAAAAATAAAATTACAAAATTAATAAGGAAAACAGACGAAATTTGGGACAGTTACTATTTTTCATGAGATTTCCAGCTGCAAATTGCATTGCAGGAGTTAAACAACATGGCTGCCACTATTTTGATACAAAATTATCTGAAAAACCATGGAATTTTCAAGTTAGGTGCAAAGTGATCTGATCTGAGACAGATATTTACTTTTATGAAAATCTCTTTGTATATATATCTGGCAGAACCAAAATTTGGAGTGAAGAATCTACTGATAATTACTAATAAAACAGTTTTGCTTGTTAATGTGGACATGATATGACAAAGGGCAAGTTTATATTTTAATCAAAAAATTGTTTTTTTTTATTATGTGACACACTGTGGTAAAAATGATCAGTAGTGTATGTGAAATCTTCAGTACCATTCCCCTCCTAAAAGGTTACATTCCCATGTGACAGTGACACATTTTTCTCAATTTGGCTGCTAGAGCACCCCTTTAAATTCACTACATTTTCATGAATTATTTTCAGAATCTATGATGACTTCTGTATATAATGGGTTATTCCATTAAAATCTTAGACTGCTCCAAATGTTTTAAAAAAATAGCAAAAGAAGCAGCTAAATTAACCCAGATTAGCCTGTTACTGCCTTAAGGCATGTACCTTAAGGTTTTATGTTTTGTTTAATTTTAATCTTTGATAATTATACATAATCAAGGTTATTGATTGTATTTGGATGGCTAGGTAATTAGTTAAAAGGACATTTATCTAACAAAATGAAATTAGGTCACACATTAAAAAGGCTGTTGTTTCTAATTGAAAGGTTCTTCTTCTGGTAGTGAAGGAAGCAGTTGGATGTCTTATTTGAAATCGTGGATTCCTTTTTGGAATAATTCTGACAGCTGCAGTGGTAATGGTAAGTAAGTAGTGTAGTTTATGAGAGATTCCAGCATAGTACTTGCATTTTGGCCAAAAATCTTCCATGATCAGCAATCATTCGCTTCCTTTCATGTTGCTAACTATTCTTCTGATTTTTTTTTTTTTGGAACTTTCCCTGGCAAAGGAAGATGGGATGTTTTCCCTCTCTGTTTAGCATAATTTTGCTATGGCAATTCATCATTGTTTATATGAGTATCTTTTTTTTTACCTTCAGGGTGTCTATAAAATTAGTCTACTTTGTCTAATAAATCTTAATGCAATTGAAACAGGTGTTTATTAATTACCAGAATGTTTTTTTTTTTTTTATTTCCAGAGAGAAAATTTCAAGGACTATTTGTCGTTAAGTCCTTAGTTTAAGGTTATCAGTAGCAAAGGGCTTCTTGTCACAATGGGCTTGTAACAGACAAGATTTAGCATTCTTCCAGAACATAGGTGCCTAGTCTTCTCATGGTCTTGTCCCTTAAAATTGTGCAAAACCTTTTCTTGTTAACACCATGCCTAAAACTTTCCTTTACTTCTGTCCTCTTTTTAGTTGCTGCAAGTGTTTCAATGTCTGATCACTTTCTGAGAAACTTGTCTTCTATCTGTAATGTATACTCTAATCAAATGTAAGGGAATGACTAACCCACACTTACAGGTGTTTGTCAGTGGCAGGCACCATGGAACCGTCATTTGGATCACTCTGTACTAAATCAATGACCACTGTTTTTTCATTTATCCTATTATTAAGGAGATTTGTCGCTTAAAGCAATTTTGAATTATCCTTATGACATAAGCATTAACCCATGCAGGACTCCTTTGCAGGTAAGAGGAAATTGCCATTTTATTCTAATTTGTGAAGAAAGTGTATGTAGAACAGGAAGTGTCCTTTCATTTCCCATTCAAACCTGTCTAAAGCAGTTTTTGTATTTTATTTGTATTGCATACATCGAGCGGACTGTTTTTGTGTGGCTTATGAGAAATGTAATTGCATGTGCATGTAAAAACCACATGGTGGTATGACCTGAAATATCTGTCACTAAGAGTCAAGTGCCCTTCAATTTGAGTTTCTTACTGCGCCTTATCTGTCACGAAAGGAGGTACCTAACTAGCATTGATTTAGATGTCTGCGAGTACAATTTGTTTGTTTGGTGCACTGTGTAATAGATTTAAAGGTATAATTATGTAAGTTGTTTTTTCATGGTGATCAGATTTGTTGGTGGTTTTGAATGAGTCCGGACAAAAGTTTTGGTATTATGGTTATAAATATAAATGTCACCGATGCAAGTCCATTTTTACATATTAAATAAGTGCGATGCCTCTTCATTTCATTTAAAATATACTCCTATGTACTATTACTGTGTAGGTAGTAACAATCACAAATTAATGTTACTTGAAGGGTGAAGGTGATTTTGAAGTTCTTCACAAATAGGGTGGAGGACCTTGCACTTTCAAGCTCATACCTGACCTCCCCTCAGACATTACTTCTGGAACAGCTAAGTTTGCTGATCTAGGCTTTGTTGATTTGAATGGAGTTAAAAATAGCACAAACTGCCTTGTTGGAGAGAGAATTCCTGGTAAGTAAAGTTTTTCTGATAAATGCTCGTGATGTGGTATAAACATGTGTAAATTAAGTAGACCAGTGTTGTCAGAGCCCCACCAATCTAAAAATGGAGTACGTTATAGACAGTAATTTGAAGTGAAAGAAGTCTGAATCAATTACAAAATACACAATTACATGTATAGTACAGTGGACAAAACTGTTTTGGATCGACGTTTACAACAAACAATTAATACAAAGAAAACAACGGGAATAATTTTGTCATTGTCCTAAACTTAAATAAATTCCACTCGTGGAAAATTATTTCCATAAAGATCACTCAACGAGGACTTGCGTTACAGCGTATCCAAATTTTGGTAACTACATCACCATTTAAGAAAACAGTTCAAAGAGTTGTTTCGCAAAGATCATCATTACATATTTGAGCATTTTGTTTTTTATGAATTCAGTCGACGAGAAAGCACGAGAAGGACTTTACAACGTCTTTGAGCACTGAAATGCGATACTGCCTTCCGACATTCACCTTCTTAAACTCTTTTTGCCACTGCAGGGCTGCAAATAACGCCCGGTCAACGGACAATGTCCGGTCAAAATTGGGTACTGACCGGACAAATCCTTGGATTGCCGGACATTTTGAGCGGTCCTTTACTGACTCGTTCAAAGAAATTTTAATTCTTAACTGTTCGATAATCACAAGGGACAAAATTCATGTTTCCGAAAAAAAAAAACAATATAAAAGTAGACAAATCAGTGGTCGAGAAATTCCCGGCAGTCGCAAATTTCCACGATGTCATAAAGTCCTGTCGCTGTCGCGACCGCAAATCATCGTGTCTTCCGTTCTTTTATTTACTTTATTTAAGTGTTCCCAGTTAGTAGAGGGTTTTACCTTTGGCTAGATACCATAATTTACTCTTAAATAAAGTGATTGATTGTTTGATTGATTGAATGATCGGAAAGCACCCTCACGAAGAATAATCTTGTTGCATCGAGAATTCTCCAAGTAGCATTTGTTGCAAAGTGCAAAAAGCGAGCAAAAGGCCCAAAACCAGGAGAATCCGACCACTCTTTTACTCTGACAAAAATTCACAACTGTAACTTTAAAATAAAGGGCTCTTTTTCAGGTCTGATTTTCACTATTGCTTAAATAGTGCTTTACTGCGAAGGATCGTGCACATATACGTTTCATAACCGCAGTTCATATATATGTATTTCATATGTTTGTTGTTTAAAGGGCTCTGAGTTGTACTGAAAACATAAAAAGTCAAGATATATAAAAAGAGAGTGTCTTTATTTGTCTGCATGTAGACATTTTCTGTTATTACTAACCTCTGAATCGCAAGGTTCACTCAACAATTTGTCATCATTCTTTCTGTTTTAGATGAAGGGAAACATTTACACAAAATATTCTTATCTGTCACGCGTTGAATGTACCACAAAATGTACAGATGATGCAATACACGATCCCCTTGCGTTACATGTCACGCAGAGTTTGTAAACACGAATGCAGTAGGCCAATAACAGTACCTTTTTAATTCGAACACACCAACTGAACAAAATTGTTTAATCTGAAAAGTCCATGCTTCACTGGTGATATTCTAAATCACACTAAATAGAACTGTAGTTTTAAAAATCCTGGTCAAATGGGAATAAATTTAAACCGGGAGCATGTGGACATAATCGTCAACATCTTCAAAAACCCGTTCCACTGCGTCTGGATGTTCTCTTGTAATTGCTACAAATTCTGCTTGCGTAAGTCGATGTCCTCGGATGTCTAAAAATATTCTCCCTTTATTGTATTCTAAAAGTTCTATGACACTTCTTTGTGAAGGAGCTTCTCTGTTGCCTGCAACATTTAAAATCTTTAGATGTTCGTGTGTTTTAAAGTTGGAGTTGATGCATATTTTACTTAAAGTTCAGTTGTAGAACTGATGTGGCGATTGCCAAAGTGTAATATTTAATTATAAGTGATTTTGCCAGATGTAAAGTAAAACGGAGAATTGCAGTTGTATCTTGCGTAACTCTTCCACGTACTCAATGCGAGGCTGCTTCTGCAGTAAAGAGTAGTAAAATTATTAACTTGTAATTTTTATTGCCAGACCGACTTGGATTCAGTTGTTTTTTAGTTGTAAAAGGATTACTTTGCAATCTGGGTTCATTATCGCAAGAGTTTCGACTGTTAAAATTTGACTGGCCAAAAACGGGTAGTGTCCGAGCAAAAGCATGTTTGACCGGACAA